CAGGCGCAGGCAGAGAGCAGGGAGTGCAGCCTGCAGCTGGGACGCTCACAAGTGCTGGGAGGACACAGACACATCACCCTGGGCTGTGTGGCTGTGTCCCCTGTCCCCAGCAGCCCAGAGGTACAAGCAGAGCACGCCCCGAGGGGCAGGAGCTTGTGGGGGTTTAAAGCAGCCATCAGCCCCTAGTGAAAGGCAGAGAGTGTGAGCGGAGTGGTAACACCGGAAGACAGCCTGTGCTATGCGTGGCTGCTAGCAGTGCTGCAATGTAGCTGAGCACATTCAGTCTTGTAAGTTTCTGCAAGTTTCTGCTCCATGAAAAGGAAAACAAACCCCAAACAATTACACAAAATCTCTTCAGAATACACCAAGCACAGTGATTGTGAGCAGTATGCACAATTCGACCTTGAAACTGCCACTACATCCTCTGAGTAGAGCATACTCCTGTCAGTTAGCTGCAGTGGGAGCAGCATCTTAAAGGTGTCGCAGATGCTCACTCACATAACACACTGATAAGGTGCACCTCATTATCATTGCAGTACCAACAGTAAATGCATATGTGCCTCGTGCTAAAAGGATGCTCTGCTGCATTCCTTCTCACTCATTTGAATGACAGCAGTTGCATTCTAAGACACAAACCTGGTGTCAGGTTGTAAAAAGTCAGCTGCCTTGGGGGTAAAAGGAGGGTGCCGGTTTGCATTACCGTCATTATTAAAGCAGGGATGCAAGCAGCATGGCAGACTGGAAGGCAAGCTAAGCCCTTTCCCACTGCAGCAGCAAATGGCCTTGAAGAGAGCTAAACCAAATCTTATAAAAGGCTCCTGTGAGCCGCTGCTTGTACACAATAGAATAGAGATCCAGCCTCACAATGTAATGCTAGGATGTCCCAATAAGGGAGTCATCTCAAAATCTCCAGTTCAGTTGATGCAAAGCTGTGTGTAAATGCAAACTATTACTGTGTTTTGTGAGATCTCCCCTTCTTAGCAGGGGAAGCCAAAGCTGAATGAATCATGAACAAAACCTGGAAGTTCCCCAAGTATGTGCATCATCACCAGGCCCAGTCACAGACCATCTGGACACTGTTGCTGATTAACTGTCTCTGGTCAGGAAGCACTGTCCTCCAGCCAGCTGCAGGTCTACCTTTGATAAGACCTGTATCTAAACCCCACACTCTTAGGAAAGATGGGTCACAAACACCCTGTGCAGCCACTGCCTCGAAGAAGAACAACGCTATTTGCTTCACATGTATGAAGGGCGATGGAAGGATTTGGATGCTTTAGTAAAGCGGAGGTGGAAAGCACGACTGCTGTCTGTAACACACAGAGGAAGGAAAAAGGAAGAGTCATTTAAGCTGAAGAGCAATGCCGGCATGAGGACAAATAGGTATCTGTGATCCATAGCTATGCCTAGACCAGGAACTAGAAGCCACCTAGCTTTGCTCCCCACTGCCAGCTACCGTGAGATATAACGGGACATTCTGGGAAGGCATTACAGGGGTTGCTGCCCGTAACTGCAAGGGGCTGTGCTGCCCTTTGCTACTAATTCTCTGTTGTGTTTCAGGATGTTACAGCATCTACATCTGGAAAAGTGACTGAACAAATGACACAGGCTCCTGGGAATTCCTGAGGTATGGCTGGGTCTTGTGACACAGAGAAGCAAGCTGGTGAGTGAAGCACGCAAGTGCTAGTCTAAAACCACTGCATGCATTTGCCTTATGAGATTGTTCTCGTTTCGACTGTGAGGTCTTACCAGTAGGTGCCAGGACAGAAGCGAAGTTATCATCTTCTGTTAATGGGAATCTATGTTTAGAAGAATGGGAAAGTGGTTAAAGAAGGTGAAAGGCGACGTCAAGAGACGGCACCCCAAACCATGCTTTGCATAACTTGGACAAATGTCCACGCTCTCGGTCAGACCGCAGTTGCTGGGTCTTGCTCCTATGTGTGTTTTGAGCAAGGACAGTCAGTAGCTGAAAATCACACCTTGACAGGTACAGGGCAGCCTGTGAATTTAAGCCTGGGAAACTTGAATAAGGCTGTTTCTGCTCTACAGCTCTGACTGAAAACGAGGGGTTGTTTCAGCTGTTGCTTCTTGGTCTGGAAGTGTCTGTGAGCTATGGGGGACCGCAGGATTACAGCGAGGCTACACCACCACTGGCAACAAACTGTGGCCATTTTAGAGGAAAGCATTTGAATGAACAGCTTTGTCCAGGGAACACTTGCTGACTGATGAACAGCAAGCAAGCAGCAGCAGGAGGCACTGGGGCCGCCACCGCAACCTGTTCCCCATCGCCTCCTGCTGACACACCAAGCTATAAATGCCGCCCCTGTGCGTTGTCCTTAGCGGCCGGTGTGAGAAGCAGGTCCCTAAGGGATAACATTGCTTTCACCTGTGCAAAATCCCACAAGCAAAATGTCAGCTTGCCCACAAGTGCCATTGCCCACCCTTGCTGTCCCTGCCTAATAACCAGGAGCATGCAGCTAGTGAGGGGCACTGCAGTCACTGGTGAGCTCAGAAGGCTTCAGAATCTCTGTGTTTCCACAGGAAACCCTCTTTTGCTTTCCACAGGCTGTTTGGGCAAAAATAGAATCAACTTATGGCCTCCATCTTCCCCCCACAGCTAGGAGAAGCTTCCTAGAGGAGCTAGCTGTTTGCATGTGCAGCCTCCAAACGTCACAGCTCCTAGCATGAAACAGGGACGTTGCTTTCCTCTCTTCCCATATGCCTTTATTAATGTAAAGAGGAGACTCAGCACATTAGCTTGGAAAAGAGGAGTTCCTAACCTGCACTGCACTAATGTGTGAGGTCTCTTTTTCAAAGCCTGTGCAGCCATAGAGCTTCATTCAAAGAACGCTGTTGACTTCAAAGACCACTGAACAGGGACCCTAATGAAGAATCCAAATGGACTGGCCAAGTTGTAGCTGTAAAAATTTAACAGGGAATATATATAAAGGCCTAAAACCCTGAAGGCATATCTGCAGGCGCTGGAGTGTGAATTGCCTTCAGGCCTTGCTGTGAGCAGTAGTGGTTGAAGGGGAAGAGCCTGGAGTCTGGCTGATGTGTTAAGAGATGCACATGTCCAGGCTGAAGCAGGCAAAGCATTCAGCTGCAGAAACATCTCCAGTAAGCTGCAGTAACCCGGGAGCATCCCCTTTCCACTGCAGTGGGACTCCATGCAAGTTACATCACTTGTATGCAGCTGTGATGTTGCAGCATTAATGGTGCAGAAAGCAAACTCCTTTCCAAGGGATGTGGTCCATACATGACACCTCCTATAGTAAAAGTAAAGTAAATACATGCTTATAGACTCTGTATGGGGTCAAACTACCTGTGAGATGTACCAAAGCACCAAAAGGTGCCCAGCTGTAGAAGTCAATCTATATAAAACATATTACCTCTCCCTACCAACCTTGCCTTCCTGTGTCCTCATTCGAGTACAGCTAAAGCAACACCTCTACCAGCAATACTTGGTTACCTTTAAGCACCATAGGTCTACAGTGGTTTAGGCTCTGTGTGGGGTTTGTTCTTTTTCTGTGCGATCAGTAACACAAGTCATTCAGCACAGCTTCATTTCCTCTTTCAGTCAGCCAGTCAGGAAGTAAGAACAATAACAAGTGATGTATATGATAAATATGAATTTCCACGTCCTTGAAGCAAACAGTGTGTAAATGTCTAATAAATGGGGAAATATTCGCTCTCCATCAATACTGAAGTTTGGAAAGGGCCAGGGTAGTGCCCTTCTCTCTTACCTTTATTTCCCTAAGGTTTCCCCAAATTCCCTGCATATTCATTTCCTAAATGAAGACCCATGAGGGAACGGGACACTGTGAAAATTCCAGCTTTCAAACCCAACAAAGCAAGATTCTGCCTCTCTTCAGACAAAAAAGATTTTTTGTTCCATTCCCCTTCCCAAATTCCCTCCATTGCAGAGATGTTTCAAAGGTAAAAAGTCTTGGAAGGGAATTTGTTGCTGAGAAGTCTTGCTGTAAAGGAATGTTAGAGGCTTTCCAAGCTAAACCGCAAACAGGGAGCTAAGCAAAGAGAAGGCAACATTCCAGCAATTTACAGAACAGAAATAAAGTCCCAGTAATTGAGAGGTGGGCTATGTTTTCATGGAAGGTGCACTGCAGTAATGCAAAAAAGAGCTGCTTTATAATGGACATAGAACCAGGGAATGGTTTGAGTGGGAGACGCTTCTTAAAGCCATCTCTGCTGCCCAGCTGATTATAGCAGCAAACAACTGGAGGATTGATACTTCAGCTAGGGGTTGTTTTGTCTGCTTCAGGAAGGCAACGGGACCATGCACAGTCTTAAAACGACGCATACGCAGAAGGGCCTTTTTTGTGCGTAGCAAGGATGCACCAGCTCATAGGGATGCACGTGGAAACACCTAGGATTACAAACACTTCCAACAGCGACTTCATTTCTCCAAATACAGCTCCACAGAGCTTGAACGACGCAGCAACAACAGCAGCAACAACAGCAGCAACAACAGCAGCAACAACAGCAGCAACAACAGCAGCAACGGAGGGAACAAGGCAGAGAAGCAGACTGCATAGAACGGATTGGGTGCAGAATAAGAGGACACTCCCCGCCCTCATCCCTCCCACCTCCCTCCCTCCCTGCCACGGTTCCACCACTCCTCCCCGTCCCGTCGTTCCCCCCCCGCGCCCCTCACCGCGAGTCGGGGCTGCCGCGGCTGCTCTCCGCCCGCGGAGCATTCGTGGAGCGCTCTTGCCCCCTGCTGTCCAGCTGCGATCCCTCCTGCCAGCGCCAGCCCGCTCAGCCTGACCGTGCGCTTACGGCCTCGCCTGAGAAGCAATCAGCCAAAACATAACGACAGTGAATAGCAGTAACGAATGAGCTACCCTTTTACAAAGGGCAATGTGATGCCCGTAGCGCTCTGATGCCTTTATGGCAGAAATCTACCGCGTTTAAGAAAAAACCCTGTTTCCAGATGTAACATCTTGTCAAGGATAGGTATTGGCTTCCGTATTATGACTCACTTTTAAGAGGAAGAGGTGTAACTCCGTAAACACCTTGCAAAGGGAATAATTAGGCTCATCTCACCTGTCAAACGCAAAGAGAATAATCGAAGTCAGGGAGGGTAAAACAAAAATCTGCTGACATCTTCGTTTTGTTCTTACTACACACAGAAACATACCTATGTAGCAGCTAACAGATGTTCAGTCTCATCTGCTGCTTCACCCACCTTTTGCTAACGGGACTGGCTTTTACTGCTTGTGTTTGCCCGGTGTCTGCAAGCACACGGTCCATGGTGCAGGCATGGACCCCATGAGCTCCATGCAGGGACCTGCTCTGCTGCTGTCACAAGGCACAGCAGTGCCCAGCTGTCACCAAGACAGCGAACCCCAAATTGTGCTGACTCCCCTCCAAGCAAGCTGGTCTTGTGTTTCCCTGAAGCAGAGTCCCTAATGCTGGATGCATCGCGTACCATGTGGCCTGCATACACACCGTATCATTCCTGGGATCCTCAAGGTGTATGGACGACTTTGGGTGTCTGATAGCTTTGACTGTACTGCTAAATGCCTGAAGAAACTAGTGCAGAGAAGACAAAAGGAAGGGAGGAACAAGCTTATACATGGAGCAGGGGAGCAGTTACCCAGTGCAATTGGCTTCACAGGGAGGTGCATGGGAGGACTGGAGAGATGGAAAATTAACATTTCAGGAAAAATCCCATGAGGTTTTTACTAGCACAAGAGAGGCAAATAGCAGCAACAGAAGTGCTGGTGTCAGAAAATGGAAGTACATGTACAGTGCCACTTCCAGTAATGGTATCTTTTCATTGGTATGATCCCCAAATGCCAGTAAGAGAAGCTGTTCCACTGAAGAATGCAATAAGATCAGAGGAACCCTATTAAAGGGGAGATCTAATGGGAAGAAGGCAGCAGCTGTCCTTCGACGCACCATTAAATGTGGCAAACATTGAAGGAAGAAAAGCCACAAATGTAATATTTAAGGAAGAACAAAACAAAAACTCAGGCACAGAATATGCAGAAAGCAGAAGTCCGACCAAATCAGTTGAGAAGAAGCAGCAAGAATAAGACTTGGTTGCTTTGGAAACCAAGATAAATTGGAAACATGGACCCAGGGACCCAAAGGATGCTGAAGTGATCAGAAAGGAATGGATGAGCAAAGGCAGTGTCTCAGATGCTTCCTTGTCAGAAGTACAATCACCAAACCTGGGGCGAGAGAAGAGCCCCCTCAGAGGCTCTGCAGTAAGTGTGCATTGGAAAGCAGAGGTGCAGAGAGCAATGGTTTCATGGGACTGGTAGCTAATGGGCAGGGTTGAAAAGTGAAATGTGAATCTCTCTTCGGTATAACAAATATCCCTGGATACATACAAGCTCCCTGTGGAACAACAGTGCTGCGAGGTGTAGTCATTAGTTGTTCTTGATTTATTCTTCCTGCCTCAACGTAACAAATATGCCTCTGGATTTAAATGACAACCCTCTTCATCTTGCATCCTGCTCCTGGTGGTGGTGAACACCAGCTAAAAGTGAAGTAAAGCCTGCGAGGATAATGGTGAGAGGACATTAGTTCTAATGCCAAAAAAGGGAACCTGGCTACAAAACTTATAATCAGCCCATATGAAAAATGGGCCACAACCTCAGAAACTGCCATCAGCAAATAAGTGCAGAGCCTGCTCTGGATTTTCAGATGCACAGACAGAGATGGAGTAGGGGGTCTTCCCTCCCTCCTCCCTTAAATTGCTTATTACCACTGAGGAAGCTGAGTCAGCCTGTCTAGGAACATGACAGAGACTGATCACATCAACCAGCTGCTGGCAAAGACAGACTAAAATAAGGGAAAACCTCAGTCCAAACCCCAAAAGCTTTTCAGGAGATGGATGGGCTGAATGCATGATCCTTCATATGAACAACCAGTTTAGTCTCCAGCATCCCTGTCCTGTAAACAAGCAAACAAAATTAGCCCTACCCCAAATACCAATTCTTCTTGTGATTACTGAGTGGGGTCTTGGTGAACAGGAGCAGAACAGAAACCATTCGTTTAGGTCTGGCAGCGAATACACCGTTTAAAAGAAGCACTTGTGTGTGAACTGCCCAGTACCTCATGAAGAGCAAGAGATGCGACCATGCTTCCTGGGAGCTGCTACGCCTGTCCTGAAGGAATCCTTGTTCGTTTCCTAATGATGTTATTTCTTCAAGGAAAAAAGTAGGGAACGTTTCTTGTTCCAGAGCTAGAAGTTGTATTTGTCAGTGTAAGTGCTGTTTGTAGGCTGTAGGCTGTGCTGCTTCTCCCCTGGCACACAGCTGTGGTGGGGTTGACCTGAATGCTGCATCCAAAAGATGCATCAGCTTTGGGGGGGTCTCATAGGAATGAATCAAGCTGTTGCACCTGGTCCTGAGTGGCATGAATGCCTGAAGGAGCTGATAAAGTAGTTCTGGGCTCTGTGGGTTGTGCGTCAGTGCCTGAGCCCCCCTTGTGCTGGCCAAAATGTCCAGCAGAGATGTGAGGTTGTTCATCCATGGGCAAAACAGACTTGACGTGGGGAAACTAATTTATTACCCATCAATTCAGAGTATGGTAATGGGAAATAAACCAGATCTTAAAACACTCTTCTCCCCACCCTTCCCTTCTTCCTGGGCTCAACTTCATCCCTGAAGCGCAGGGGGACAGGGTATGGCATTTGCTATCAGTTCCTCACATGTATAGGTCAGTTGTCCCATTCCCCTCCTTCCTCCTCAGAGACAGGACTCCTCACACTCTTCCCTTGCTCCAGCGCAGGGGCCACCAACAGGACACAGTCCTCCACGAACTTCTCCAACATGAGTCCTTCCCATGCTCCACTGTGGGTCCCCATGGGGTCACCAGTCCTGCAGCAAACCTGCTCCAGTGTGGGTACTCTCTCCATGGGGCCACAGGTCCTGCCAGGAGCTGCTCCAGCACAGGCTTCCCATGGATTCACAGCCTTCTTTGAGTATCCCCTTGCTCCAGCATGGGATCCTCCAGGGGCTGCAGGTGCAGACCTGCTCCTCTATGGACATCCATGGGCTGCAGGGCACAGCTGCCTCACCATGGGCTGCACCATGGGCTGCACCATGGGCTGCAGGGGAATCTCTGCTCTGATGCCTGGAGCACATCCTCCCCTCCTTCTTCATTAGCCTTTGGGTCTGCAGAGCTGTTTCTCTCACATATTCTTACTCCTGTCTGCCTGCAGTTGCTCCAGTGCAGTAAATTCCCCCTCCATCTTAAATAGGTTATCCACTACCACTGATCCTCTGGAATAACATATTTAAGCCTTGGCCAGCAGTGGGTCCACCTTGGAGACCTCCGGCATTGGCTCCACTGGACGTGGGGGAAGCTTCCAGCAGCCCCTCACAGAAGGCAGCCCTGTAGTCCTCCCCCTGCCTTGCTACGCAAACCCAGTACAGATTCATACAAGATACCTTATATTTTTACTTGCCTTTTAGTAGGAAGCCTTTTCCTCTTTCACAGCTTGGCACAAAAGCTCCTCAACTGTTCACTTGGAGGTGCGAAGCAGAAAGAAGCCTTTTCATAAGCCTGGCGGCCAAAGAAACAGAAGTCCAGCCCCAGCTTTTCAGTGGCTCTTGTGTCTTCGCTCAGAATATTGGTTTCTAGGCTGCAAATCACTCCTTTTAAACTATGCAGGAGACAGCAGGGAAACAGCCTGCAGCCATGGCCTCTCCAGGGCAGGGAATGTGAGCAAGCAGTATATTCTTTCAGTTTATGCTCGCTTCTCATTAAGCTGAGCAAGACTTTTCCTTTCCTTGGGATACCTCGTATGTTACATGTACTGTCATGCAAATATTTACATTCCGAGGTGTAAAACATCAAGCAGAAACTTGTGTGCCCTCATAGAGAAATCCTTTACGGAGTGTTTTTGGTAAAGGGCATATTTCCTCACTGGAGATGGGACCAGTAAAGAGCAGCCCCTGCCACTTTCTGCCCCTTCAATAGCTACCAAGTCTTTTTTCCTACCTTTATTAGCTGAAGCCTTTCCTTTTCTGAGACATCATTAAAACAGCTGAAGCCATTAAGACAGTTCTGCACACGGATGACACTTTGTGACAGCATCAAGGCTCAGTGGGTTATCTTGATACACCAAAAGCCATAGGTACAAGCAAGCAATTTTCTTTATATCCTTCAACAGCTTTCCTGTGCTAGCATGGGAAGTCAGTGTCAGGTGTCTGATACAATTACTGAAGGCTGCTGTGGCCTGCTAAGGGTGTGTTATCCTCCCACCTTGTTTGCAATGACTCTTTTGCCCTCCTTCCCTGCAAAAGGGAGAGCTCTTGTTCAACAAATGGGAGGCTGGATCTCTTGAGGGAAGGTACATCTCTCCTCTCGTGCTTCATGTTAAGCAAGCAGGTCTGGGTGCTGAAGGCAGGGAAGCACATGCAGGTTCTGCTTCAGTGCTGCGCTTGGAGAGGGGCACCCAGGAGTACAGGACATAAACCTATAAATAGAACTTGTGACCACAGGGGAAAAAATAATCAAGATTTGTCATCCTCCTTTAAGCTGCCATTGTGTGTGTTCAGAAGGGATGAACCATATATGTTTTATGAACTGAAAGACCCTCAGAGGGTAACGTTACAGGAATTAGGCTAGCTCAGTCCGCAGTGGTACGTAAGGTAAGAGAAGAGAGTTAACTGCTTTATAAGCCAAAAGCACCGTCTGTAAACAGTTTTGTGTGGTGTGCAATCAGTCGGATGAACTGGAGATTTCAGTCTGACAGGTCGAGTGCCCGCTGGAACCGAAGGGAGGAAATCCCTAGACTTGGGAACCCAGAGGTAGTGCTCCCCCATGGCCCATTTCCTGACGCAGCAGAGATGACCTCAAGTGCAGAGCAGTGACTGCAATCAGACAGCTTCTGCCCACTCCCCAGATAGCCCTGGGCGTCACTGGATCTTTTGCTTTTAACCTCAAACCTCTTCTGTGTATAAGGATCCCTTTCCCCACTTTGTTACTTCTGCTCTCAAGCTGTATTCCTAAACATTAACCTATTACACGATCTCCAGTTCCCTCCAACACACTTTAACCACCTGAAAGTATTCAAGGAGAGACCTAAATTCTTTTTAGTGCTATTTTACCATGCCATTTTACCCCATTCTAGGAAGCACCCCTGACCATCATCACTCCTTTTGTACTAACTTCCCTTTTATCACTGTTACCTGGGGCAATCCAGTTTGGCTTCTGCCTTGACTGGGTGGTGTGGCTGCAGGGTTAACCCATTTCCCAATCAAGCTTGGCAGACCAGAACCCCCCTTGCAGCTTTTCCTTGATGAATTAGGCTGTTAAAGAAAAATAAGCAAATCTGTTTAACTGGTCAGCATGTGAATTGGGGGCTTTAAAGACACACACCTGGGACTCACTCCCTTTCAAGTGGTAGCTATGAAGATGCTGATGGAACAAGATGCATGGGTCCATCTGTGTCGAAAGAGTCTCAGCTTTACAGGAGGGAGCCCAAAATGGACTGAGACGTTTCACTCTCTTGATAGTTGTGTGACCCAGGCTCCAGAAATGGCTTTTGCATTTATTCAGTACTTGTGTAAATTATAGAGACTGTTTTGGGAGCAAAACCAAGCAAACAGTTCTCTCCCTGCTCGTTTGAATATCCAAACTGCTGGGTTGGAAAGTCACATTTCCCTTTGTGCTGCTTTCTTCTGTCTTCACTCAGGATGCTCCAGGGTAGATAGGATCCTATTTGACTTCACAGTGAGGCAACAAGCTATTTCACATCATTTTTGCATCAGCATAATAGCCATAAAAAGGCTACTGAAAGTTCTAAAGAAGCTTAAAAGCATGATTTTGATTTTAAAGGCACCTCAGCATCTGATGGTGCAGATCACGAGATCTGCATTCCACTTAGATTCAGATTTCCATACGTTGATTGGTTCTCCTGACATACGTACTATGCCATATGGGAAAAAAGAGTTCATGGGAAAAGTCAAGAATTAGATGCATGTTGCATTTGAAAGGCTTTACGGCTTTCTGCCCCACAATCATATTGTCTGTATGTGCACAGTGATGTGTAGCTCTATAGGGACCAGTGTTACGGCTATGTTTGTGGTAGTACTTCCTGATAACATCCTTCAAGGCTCCACAGGGGCTATTCCCAGCTGGGTCAGAATTTCAGGCTGAGTGCCTTGTGGGTTGGGTGCTCTAGCTTCTACGAATCTCGTTGGATTTATGCTTGTGAATGATTTTGAATGCATGCACGAGTGAGGGTGCACAGCATGAAATGAGGTAAAATTGGAGAGAGTCTGAGACGATGTCATGGCTTGCAACTCATTAAAGCAGAATGGCTCAGGGAACAAAAAATGTCCCCTAAAAGCCTAGTACTTGAGGATTTTGCCCCACTAGTGAGCCTAACTAGAGTGCTGTTTTCATCTGTAGAGATTTTCTGGCATTTATACCAGTAAGAAGCAGCTGATTTCTTAAATATCTCAGTCTCAGAGACTGCCAAATACGCGCACAAATTGTCCTGGCAGCTGCAAAAAGCTTCCCCAAAAGCAGCAGAATGTTTTCTCCTCAATATCCTCATTTTAAGGGGTCTATCACAACGACCAACTTCTATCACCCTCCAGTGCTATTTCCTAGCTGCTAACTGTCATCAAGGCATGGGCTGGGAGGGGAGAGACATGGAGGTGAGGACCAAAGGCACAGGGGTACATGCAGCTGCCTCCTCACTGACACAGCTTGCCGCTGTGCTGCTGAAACTGGTTTGCTCTCTTCACATCCTGCCTCACACTACTGTGTGGTGGAAAGCATGGCAATGAGTCTCAGATGGCTATACCTTGTGATGGTAGATTGGAACAGAGGGGATGAATTCACCTTCACATACTGGAAAGTTGTTTTATTTTTTCCCTTCTCATCCCAGTTTTCCTTCCCATGTCCTGTGACGAGCCTGCAATGCTCGTTGGCAACACCTCCTGCCTTCCCCCTGCAGTGAATCACCATCTCTCAAGCACAGCAACGGATGCTGACTCTTCTGCCTGATTGTTTGGGGAAGATGCTGTGCTTGGAGACAGAAAGCTCATCTCCACCTGGAGAGATGTGAAAGCCCTTCTGAAGGGATGATGGAGAACAATACTTGGGATCCGTAGCTCAGTGCCGTAGGGCTCTGTCACAACTAAGTCAAAATTACCTTCAAGAGCATGCTGTAAAACACCCCACAAATCGAGCATCTGTCCCAGCTGATGAATCAGCTTAGCACTGGCATCACAAACGTGGTTATTTCCATGGGGGTCCGCTCCACTTTCCTTCTTCTCCTGACTTTGCATTCAGTCCTACTGATGCGGTAAGGTGAAGTTGTCATTGATGGAAATAAAACTGGTCCTTCCTGCAAGTGTCCCGTGCTGGCTTGGGATGGGGTTTTGGGGGCCACGCTGATTACAGGGAGCCACGCTCTCACAATTTTACACGCCTTACGGATGCCTACATATGCACGTACTGATCTGATGCAGCACATCAGAAGCTAGTTTATCCAAACAGCTGAACTGTGTGGCAATAGCTCACACCTGAGCTAGACACGGGACGCGCATGTAAAACATCTGCAGACATTTACCCTTGAGAATCCACGCAACTGTCTTTGAAAGCATTTACAGGAGCTGACTGTCTCAAAGCGTACTTGTAATTGGGTGGGTTTTGGTAGAGATCCTTCCTAACGCCAGCGCCCTGAGAACACAGCAGCACAAGTGCTTTCTGGAGCTGTTGTTTTCCCTTGATGGTCCCCAGGGTACATGAAAGAACCTGTGTGTTGTTTTCCCCCAAGCTGGTGGCAGACATTAGAGAATTGAATTTAACATTCCAATGTGCCAGGCATGAATACACTCTGCATATCTCCCAACAAACGTAAATGAAAGGAATTTCTGATAGCCCTTTTTCAATTCTATGTGACAAATGTGATAGCCTTCTCAGTAAACAGCAAGAGCTGGAAATGCCAAGCTGTTCAGTGAAGCAGGATCAACATCCCTAATACTTCATGGGATCACTAATAGCTTCTGCATCTTCCAAGACAATAAGCCTTGATTGTTCCTCTGGATGCATTCCTCCGAACTTCATCCCACTAATTGCAATGTTTCAGGGCTTATACATGTAAATAATAACGGGATCTGTAAGCATAGGGGCTTTGAAAGGAATGTCCCATTACCTTAATGTTGTCAGATTGTGGCAAAGCTGTTTACGAAGCATACAAGCCACAAATCAAAGGAACCTGATGTACTCCTATATTCTTCAGACAACTTGGCATGGAAAAGATGAAACTACATTTGTGCACTTTATTATTCAAGGTGACGAGTCAATGTGTGGGTGATGGTGCATCTCTGAAAGTAAAATACTGAAACATAAAGGCTTTCAGAGGCCTAAGAGTCATGCTTCTCCTTCACAAATTTACAGGCAGCTGGACCTGAGATAAAGGCAGAGGTTGTCTATTGCAGACATGGCTTAGAATGCTGCGTACACAGATCTTTCTTCCTGTATTTAACTTTCCCTTCAGTGATTTAACACTGCAAATAAAACCAGGTAAAGATCTTCCAGGAGCACAGTCAGTGTTCTCATATAAAAGAGCCAGCACTACAACAAAGGGACCTCTCCAAAGAATTAAACAGCAAGAATGCTCACTTAAAGTTTCCAAGAGATTCTTCCCTTTGCATGTGTTGCATTTAAGACAGCTGGGAAATGCATCAAATTCAGTACCCAGGACTTCAGACATAAAAAGAGATTAGGCACATTTCAAACGTGTTCTCAAATTATTCTGGGTAACTCGTATTCTGTTGGGAAGGGATGGAGTATCTTAAATCACAGTTGTTCTTTACTTAGCAGCACAATCAATAAAATACAGAAGTGGTTAAGAACAATAAAGCATGCAATTGTATTTCTGCCTCAGTTTTCTCACCACCTTGGGGCAGTCTTAGTGTTGAAGATTAGTTATTATGGGAGGGTCCAGGATCCTTCTGGGGTGGCCAGGATCTGTCCCTGAGCTCTGGATGCCTTCCAGCCTAGCTGTGGCAGTAGCATCTCTTGCTTTTGCATGGAAAAGTCCAAGAGTACCCTTGCCAGTGTCTTCTTCCTCTCCCTGCCACGTGTTTCCTGGTCCTGTGTGTGAAACTACATATCGCCATCTCGACAACTTTATTTCTTGCCAGCTTTCTAGTCTGTAGGCAGAAAAGAGATTTGTGGCACAACTGTGCTATTGGAATACGGAATACGGTTACGAAGACGAATGGTGCTGCATCTGGGAGAGACAGAGCACACTTCTGTTAGCATCTACATTAAAAAATCATGGCTATTTCTTAATTTACCACCTGCAATCTGTGCATTGTACTTATACAGGCTTGCAAAGACTCCCAGCAGATTCCTCCTGCTGAAAGTTCCTACCCCAAATATGTTGAACATGAGCCATCTATACACATTCTGACTAAGCTGTTAGGAGGAATAGTTTCCTGTATACAGTCTATGCTTTGATGGCTTCATTTGAGGAAAAAATAAAGCCCTGCATAATATCTTTACAACAAAACCCTTGCCTCTGGGGAGGGCCTTTGCATATGGATCTCGAGCATCTTACAAATACCAAGTTTCATAACTTTCTGTAGAACTCTTCCTTGCAGAAAGGAAGCAGAGAAGTGAGAAAGCCATGTGGCAAGCTAGTGGGCAAAGAATGAGCCTCTGGTCCAGGAGTCCTGGTGAGCAGTTATATGCAGTTACCACTGGACAATATAGTGGTTGTACAGAAAATGAATAGTGTAAGAAAGAGCAACTTTCCAAGTATCATTCATTTTGCCCCTGGAGATACATCACTGTAGGCTGCATTGATTGAAAGCTGCAGCAAAGCTCCTGTTGCAGGCAGGTCTTTGTGAAGATTGCAGGGGGAAGCATGTCAGCTCCGTGTCAGCTTTATTTATGGTAGGCTGCAATGACTTCATATTCCTTCTTTGTATCTGAACAACACACGAGAATCACAGAAAATGTCAGCAGGATCTAATGATCTGAATGAAATGCACTTTCCCTGATGCCTGCTCTCTCATCTGCGCAAGAGTTGAGCTCGGCATTCTTATTATTGCAGTTATGAGTTTGCACGTTTCATTCTTATCCTGGAAGAGGTGTTCGGATGTACTTAGCCCTTGTATGACTAAGCTGAAGCAAACCAAGCCTTGGGTGAAAAGGCTGCGAACTGGTAGTGCTGGGTGAATGATTTCTTGCAATCCCTCAATTGGCTCTAAGGATCTGTTCTTCTGAAAGACGATGGGTTCTGGTTCTGCAGCTCTCTGCCCAGGCACCCAGCATCCCTCTGTTAGTCTTACATATTTCTGCAGGAACGGCTTAGTGTTCTTCATCTGAAAGGAATGTGGTTGTGGAACTGTGCTACAGAGACATGCGGGACACAGAGTACCACAAGGCCAAGCAGCACACAGTTCTTTTTCCTACCCTTGGGCAGGGTCAGCTCAATATTGAAAGGTCCAGAAGATAGGCAGTAACTTTCATATGTCCTCTGCTGATGCTGATGCTGAGCAAAGAGTCTGATCAGTTACTGCAGGAAAGTTTCTGCAGGGAGTTTAAAGAAGTAACTGAGACAACCAGAGAGCCAAAAAATAGGAAATAAAATAGCAGAAGAGTGGTAAGGAGGTGTGTGTGTGTGTGTGTGTGTGTGTGTGTGTGTGTGTGTGTGTGTGCCTTCATGCCTAAACCAATTGTGACAGGCATACTGAGACACCTATTTCTAGGTAGCAAGATGGTTTGATCTGATCTCTGCTTGTCCTTCTGCCTGTCCTACTGATGCTTATGGCATTTTTAGCCCTCTGGCCCGTGCTGTGCTCAGGGATTTTACACTGGGGACAGACACTGTGGCAATTTGTTCCTTACAACACCAACATTGGAGGGGAGCCTCTCCTCTCCAACGTGCTGCCAGCAGCCCCCAGGAGTGGCACTGCTACTGAGCTTGGATGTGACTCTTTAATCCCGACTAGGAAGTGGGATGTTAGAGATTCCTTTTCACCATTCATCTGATCTTCTTAGACTTCTGGTAGAATGAGAAGTAGTTCTCCTTTTCCAGCCCTCACGTTAGAGAGTACCCGTAACTTCCTCCTCAGGGGCACAGGATGGAGAACACAACATGAGTATTCCACACTCATGTGTGTTGTAACTCCCTTCTATTCACAGATGCATGTAGGTGCTGAGGATGAAGGTTTGTGATCTCCCTGTATCTCAACCCTAGGTAGAAGTGAGGAATACAGAGGCTCATTTAGTGCAAAAAATGCTCTGGGGAAAAAAAAAAACATAAGCTGAATAGCACTTGGGAAAGAGCAAGGTATAGAAATAGCCTGACAATTCAGGTGTCCATTTCATCTGTACCTGCCACGAAAACACAGCTCATGTTAATTCAACAAATGGATGAAAATACAGGGCTTAGTTAGGTAGTGACACTGAAGATCACTGGGAATTTAAACATTGATACCAAATGCACTGAAGATGCTGATTTTGAATATCATGGCTTTATCCTGCAGGTTCTCCTTGAACGGACTGGTCAGTAGTGGTGAAAGCACAAGAAAGTGCCTGGAGTCTGAAAATGAGGCAGTGGCGATGCTGTGTAATGTAGTTACAGTATTTCATTCGAGTTTATTCTCTAGTGCTTCATTCAGCGAGAGAATTGCTGACTGATCCTTTCCACCTCAAGTTCTCTTGGATGGAAAAGGATGCTTCACAATTCCTGTGGCACTCCAAATATCAAAGATCAAGGATTATGTATTAGATCAAGTGATTAAACACTGTGGATGGGAGATAAAGTTAAATATTAAGTTCTCCCTCCTCCTTGAGTGCCTGTGACCTCCCAGAGCTGGTATTACCCTTCAAATAGGCTGCAGGTCTTTCCGCAGCACCGGTGCCACTCTTTTACATCCAATATTAAACTGCTTAACATCATATACAGCCCTTGAGCTTTGATACTTGTTCTGAGAAGTGCCAATGGATGTGCTAGTGATTTTGATGAGGTGAGACACGTTGCAGTCAGTTCCAAAGCAGCATTGTCTGTCAAAGCAATTTTGGTGCTTGGAGGTGTAAGCCAGATAACTGCAATGTAACGACTGGCTGCGCACAGTACCGTACCTATCAGCTTGAAGTAACTTCTTACTTTTTCTTCAAGCTGTAAAAGTGTGGAGTGCTGTTGTGTTGGTCTTTCTCCGATTACTGGGAGCTGGCAATTACTCTCTGTCAGTTTTTAATTCTGATTGGAAACAGAAAATGTGTTAAAAGCTCACCTCCATTTTTCCTAAGTAAGTGTAGAAGATCCCAAGCAAAAACCCAGCTCCTGCTGTGGACAATACAGGGCACATTACAGCATTTTTGGGCACCAGAACTAATGCTGCTGTGCCCATTTGTGCTGGCCCTGATCCAGAGAGAGCACCTGGGCATTCACTAAGCTTCAAGCACATGCTGAAGCCTGTCTCCCTTTTACTACGTGCTTCCCTAAGCCAGCACCCTGTTCCTGGGGGCGTGCTTGGTGTGCCACAAGGTGGTTTGGGACTCTCCCTGTCCATGTCACTGGCCATCCCCTAGGCACATCTCTGCACTCTGTGCTGGCAGCTTGCAGGGTCTCCTCATGGCTGGGCAGGCGGGCTGTGAGCACTCACTGTCCCCAGGCACCCATGACCCCTTGTACAGGTGGCCAGAGACAGACCCAGGGTCTCAGGGGTGGGCAAAGCAGGGACCAGATTGGTTTTGCTGTTCGATTTTAATGAAGGTGGTGTTAGAGTGTTTCCTTAGCTCATAGAAAAAGAGAGAAGCTGGGCAGGGAGATGGAGGCAGACAGCCCCTTTGGGGTAAGGACCACGCAGCACACGGGCTTGGCTCTTTCCCCTATCAGGAATGACCCCAGCAGAGATCATCACTTCGGGCCCTGCAGACTGGTGCTCTCCAGTAAGCCTCCAACAGATGCCTCCTGCCCTTCAAGGCCATCTCTGACTCCTAGTGTTCGAAAGAGCTTCCATTACTACAGCTGAGATCCATGCGCCCAGTGCATGGGGTCACCCACTGCAGGGTGATGGATGGGGACCCATTCTCCTGTCCACGGGCCTGGAGAGGCACCGGTGAGGATGCTGGCCGGGCGCTCCCTGCACCCTAAACCAAAGCTACCGCGATTCGCTCTGTGCTACTGCATTCCTCCTAAGCCCAATAGATGGCAACATTATCTTAGAGATGGGCTCGGCTCTGGCTCCGGGAGCCTGAGAAAGCCTCTGCTCATCAAAATGCGCTGCACTGTCCTGCACAGAGTTAAAAGAAAATGTGAAGGAAATTATTCTGGCTTTTGGTACTGAAAAAAACTGCCCTGAATCTGATCAGGATTGCTTTGAAGCAGTTTTCTTTTGAATGTGTCATTTATTAGTTTATCAGGTCTGGAGGTATTAATCCCCGGTCGGAATGATAGATGTAGTTTTCAACCAGAGAGTCTGGCATTACATAAGGATCACGACCATTTTAAGCCATGCATCATTCTCATTCCCACAAATGGCAACCAGAGGGTAAGCAGGACAGGAAGGTGGTTTTGGGGGAAGCGCTTCCTTAGTCCTTTACCTCCCCACTCCCCTTCATTTTCTCCCCAAAATTCCTGAAACTGCCTTTGCAGTGCCCAGCCATTGAGTCTTTCACTTTGAAGCAACAGTCTGTGGCAAGTACAAGGGCACTGTGAAAAGCAAGTGTGAACCAGCCCCAGAAACAGCATCAGAGGCAGCACAAGGCAAAGCATGCAAAAGGGTGAGAAATCCATGAAGAGCCCAAGACAGCAAGGCTTGCAGGGCAGTGCAAGAGCTGAAGACAAAGTGTTCCAGTAGGCTCACAGGAGAGGGTCCAGGCTAAAGGGATGAATGTGAGGTGCCAAGATGTGGGAGGTACAGAGAGGCCATTTAAGTTGTGTGCCAGATTGACTCGGAGGCTCTTGAGTACATACCTGGTTTTATCTGACGCAGTTAACCATAGGGTATGCGACTTGCAAGCATTAGCAGCAGAACTATAGGATCATAGAAACAACCAGGTTGGAAAAGACCTTTAAGATCATCAAGCCCAAGGATGTGTGCATGCTTTTAATACAAGGCTTATTTACTGCTCACCGAAAGATCTCTCAAAGCTGTTTTCTAGGGAGGGCAAACACATGGCTGAGATGTGCATGTGTGCCTGCCTCACGTGCAAGAAATGGTGCAAAGGGATTCACCATTTTAGTTCTGGTAGCTCATGTACTCTGTAGCAAGGAGATCATATTGGTCAGATTGCCATTTTGCACCTTGAGCAAATGAATTAACAAGTTTGGCTATTTGTACTTGATAAAATTTTGAAGTGCCCGTGTTAAATCCCAGGATTTAATGCTATTAATATAATGTCACCCTCTTTTTTTTTTTTACTTTTTGTAGCTTCTTATCTTTCAGTGTAATTTCCTTAATAAAGCTTGTAAGTTCAGCAGTAATATCAACTTTGCCTTTAGCTAAGTAAGAAGGAATCCAGTAGAACTATGATACATTTGACGTGATTAATTTTTTCAGCTTGCTTTTGCTGTTTCTTTCTGTCTTTGGAAAAAAAGGGCCCTGTTGTAGGGTGAGTTTAATTGTGCTTTCCAACACCACCCATCCTGCAGCTTGCGCTATGACCTTTAAGGGAGGAGCAGGGACCTCACTGCCATTTGGCTGGACAAGGTCACTTTAACCTTTGAAGAAAACCAGACAGTTTTTACCTTACCATAACAGGTCTGCAGCTGGCTGTGCTGGTGTCTTGCCCATGGGTTCACTTCTGAGCTCCTCAAGATGCCCCGGCTGAGGTTCCCAGCAGATACACACTGCAAAATCCATTGAGTTTGCATAATGTTGCCACTGAGGAAAATTCAAACCAGGTGATGTAAATACCAGTGAATACCAGTGAAGGGAACAGGACCATGCTTACGAGTCTTGATAACGGTAATTTAAAGTACGTTCCAAGTGCTGGTAGCAAAGATGAAGGCAAACTTCATTTAAGTCTGTGAAAGAGCTGTTAAGTGCTGGTTGCTGACACAAAGAACGCATTCCTATATAAACGTTTGATCTTGCAGACTTTTATAATGCTGTGAACAAATCTTTCCTGATGAATGATGACTCAGAACAGAGCTTTTCACTTGGCATTTGATAATTCATTTCAATTGCAGCAGGAAATAATCGTTCTATTCAAGCATACTGGGATGTACTTAGTCTGTCCCTAATGAGTACATTAGAACAGGCAACTCATCCCTGTCTGATTTTAGCACAGGCCACAAACTTTATGACTGAGTCATTATTCAGTCACCTCTCGGGCCTAAAGAATAAAATTCCAATGAGCTGCAGTGGTTTAATCACAGTGTTTTTCCTTTTTATAAATCACTCGGGTATCCACTGATTTGTTGGAGGAATCTGGGAACCTTTCATTGGTGAACCTTGTGTTGTATTTTCTCTGTTTTGCTTCAAAGGCTTAAAACCAGAGCAATATGATGCATTAGTTGATTGGGGAACAGCCTGACTGAAGGAAAATGAACTAGTTTAATTTTGCCTACAGTCAGAATACAGCCTAAATAAATAGTTCAAACACAGGCAGAGTATTCAAAGAGCAGGGGATGACTCAGGAGAACATGTCATGCCAGCACCTGGCATGCTGGTATCGCCTATGAGACCCTTTAGCGTTGCTATTAGGTACACCTGAGTCACCCACAGTGTCAAAAGACGTGTACCACCTGGCTTAGAAACTGCTCTGCTGCATTGGTGACCCGTCTCGCTCAGAGAACGTGAGTTGTTTGCTTTCCTTTCTGGTTTTGCTTCCACTAGGAAAGGCACAACTGGACCCTTCAGGTCACCCTGTTTGCTGGGGGCATGAAGGCGTAGTGAAAGAAGATCGGCCCTTGCTAAAACTGTCAGGCTTCAGAAAACGGTCTGGTCTGTTTCTAAACCCTACCAAACAGCAGGGGGAAATCTGGTAGGTGCCGGTCGATGTATCATAGAGCGTGGAACATTTGTGCGCTTAATTCTCACCGGGGCAGTCTCGCTGTCTTCGGGGAAGGTGAATGAACGTAGTGAAGTGTCTCTATAGTAATGAAAGAACACTCATTGTGCCACTGGAGATTGAAGCTGCATGGCCCCGTGGGTAATAAATTGCTAGTGTTCAGGCTCATGAGAGCATCAAGGAAAGCTGATGCAGAGTACTCTAATGACCATTATAACTGGCTGCAGTGAAAAGACTGTTATTTAAGTACATTTCAAAACGTACGGTAAATTGGGCAAAGGTACAGCTGTGCTTATGTGCTGAGACAGCCTCCGGTCTTATTCAGTCTGACAGACTTTGCTCTTTGCATTTAGGTTTCATCTGCGTGAGCTGAATGCTCCTGGTATTTATGGCCTCTGCTTGCAAGGGAGGCAGGAATGCCAGGCAGAATTGGTTGTGTTAACAGATTATCCAGCTGAACAGCACAAGCTTTGGGTGAAGGTGAGGTAGCGGAAGGTCCAGCCACCATTTGGCACCGCAGTGTTGCCATCCTCCCAAAACACCTACTTGCAGTGTTTCTGAGTGAATCTGAGAAGGATCTTTGAGACAAAGGGACAATACTTTACACTGCCATGGAGAAACAAGAGTTTTGCTTTCTATGACCACCTGGACCAGACAGTACAGACTTTCCTCCCCATTGCATGTAAGAGAGGTTTGTTTGATTCATGTCTACTCCTAACCCACTTTGTAAGTTACTTGGTTTACAGAACCATTTGAGTGCTCATATTTGGTTGAAAATAAGGGAGGACAAGCACGTATCTTTGCTGTGCCATATGGGCAGGGAAATTTATGGCATACTGTCGGTCAGATACATCCTTGCTTTGGGATTTCCAGCTTGAGACAGGTCAAAAGTTCTCATCTTACACTTTTCTGGCTGCGTACTTCATGGTTGACTTTACCTTTTGGCTGTTAGGGTGTTTTGGGTCTAGTTGGGCTGTTTTTTGAGGGTAAGATATTGCAGAGTCATGCAATATGCACATTTCAATCCATTTATCACCTAACAGGTACATTGTGATTGAGTATTTGAGACAAGCAACTCACAGTAAGCAAGCTGCCAGCAACATTTGGGCAGCTAGCACTGCAACAAATCATCTATGTGAGCTTCATGTTCAGCACACGGGGTCAGACCTGTGCTTCCCAGGAATCAAGTAATCCCCAATTTGTTTGAAGTGTAGTAAATAAAGGTGGACATCTTAGCTAACGAATTACCCATGGAGAAAATAAAGCAGACAAATTACAGTAAACTGTTTGCATTTGTGACCTTCCTAGAGAATAAAGTGACCGAGTTAGGATTGAAGAGTTACTGCATGGGTGTTTGCTGACACCATTTGGTTGCTGAATACATTTGCAGTGATTGGTGGAAATCAGTCCAGTCTTTGTCAGGCAAAAGGGAGACTTCTTGAGTGAAGCCAATGGAAGCTTAGTGGAAAGACACATGGCTTAAAGAGCAGTTTACTAAGGAGGGGCTCTGTGGTCTGCGTGAAGCTTGAGGTGAGGACATCATCCAAATACTGGTTGTATCCAGAGCATTACCAAGTAACTGTCAAGGTAAAGGAATGAACTGGAAGTTTTTCTCCCCTTTGCTTGAGTTCCCAAAGATTATGGAGAAGCTACATAGAAGTAGCTCATTAACTCTCAACCTCTTGCTTTTTCTTCCTCTTTATACCTGTGACTAACGAGATCACTTAAGTCACCAGTCAGATGCTGAAAGTTGATTGGCATTTATTAATAAGTCAATTTCCTTATTAGTGTTGGAGCTGGTATCAGCAATTCTACAAAGTTCTTTCTTCACGTGCCTCCAAACATTGTTAGCTGTTTGCTTGTCAGTGCATCACCATCTCTGCACCCTTCCTGAATCCAAAAAACAAAAATCAAGGAAGCAGCTGACGTTACACTGGACATGCAATGTGTAAAACTGGGGATGCGAGCAAGCATTTCTCTCTCTGTGTTAGCACTCTACTGCATTTGTTTGATTCTTTGTCTATTTATGGCCCTTTCTGAAACTACGCCAGGGTATGAGAGCTGAATGTCTTGAAGCAGCTGAGAGCACTTGTGTTTAGACATGAAGTTAAAGACCAGAAGTTTTGATGAGTGACAGCTGTAGCATAAGCAGGTGCTAAATGCTGTCAGCCTGCCCAGATTAGGCTCATTCAGGTAGGTAGCTGGAAATAGTAGCACACCCATATGAAACAGTTGTTTGGTGTTTGCACTGAACAGAACTCTCTGTTGTCTTTAGTCATTTCCAGCTTACAAAAAAGAGAAAGGTCCCTTTATTCCTATTCAATAAAATCCCTGTCAGTTGGAGGCTTTTCCTTTTGGGAAAACCCTCCATTTGGAGTGTTCAGTGCTTGTGTTACCCAATTTGCCCAATGGTCGCTGATTCTTCTCGAGTCTCTTTTACTGGCCCATACTGTTTGAAATGCCTAGTGTTCCCACTCCATCAGTTTCAGGTGGGCTAAAATTAATCTGTATGGTATTTTGGCATTAACTTTGACACCTGACAGCTTGTGAACATGTATAGTAACTATGCTGGTGGGTAGGAGCATGATTAAGCAAAAAAGAAAGTCACAAGGGAAGGGAAGGAATAAATACAGTTAAAAGCATTGCCAATATTCTGCGGCATTAAGATTTCAGAGCTGTGAGGAGTTTATGTCAGTGTTTCACAAATTGTATTGGGTTTGCCTCTAAAATGGCGATAATAGAATAAAACACCTTATTTGTGGTTTCAAGTCAGCCAGAGACTTGCAATCAGCTGTCACATTAAAACAGAGAGGCTGTCATTGAATCAGCATGATCTCCATCAGGCATACAGGCTGTCCACGCATCCCTCCCTGTGAAAGCAGGTTCCTTTGAAGAGTCTTTTTCCTTGTGACTCTCAGACCTATGAAGGACTTAAATTTTGAGTGGACCCAAATTAGCTGTGCTTGTTTTAAGGCAGGAGCTGAACCTTTGAATTGCACAGGCTTGAACCGTTCCACTGAAAACAATGAGACTCTCTGAGGGTTTTACTTTGCTGTCACTGAAGTAACTGAAAATTGGATCTGGGTCTGAAGGATTAGAGATTCAGGCATCACTAGCACTGAGTGAAAGCTAAAAAGCTGTAAGTGTGGAAATCTTGAAGAAGCATTTATACCAACCACCAAAGAGTGCTTTGGGCATTTCATTTTGATCTTCCCCTTTGGAAGTGCACACCTTCTTCCTATAGAGAACCGGGCCAATAGCACTTGGGTTAAATATCCAAACACATCTAGTGTTAACAGCGTTAATAAGCCTCCACTTCTTGTGCAAACCTCTAGTCTTTGCTATGCTTGTCCTAAGGGAAGAAAGGCACGCAGCTAGAATGACACCTTTCTGAAGAGGGCACAAGAACTGAATGGGTCTCCATTTAGGAGAGATGACACAGCGATGCTCCCATCCTCAGCTGCAACCATCCGGTCTGCCTCTGAAATTTCAGCAGAAGCACATTGGCACAAGGCTGACTTCCAGATCAGGGGCTGAGCACAGGAGGCAAATACAGCTACCACTGGTTTCCAATGCTGGTAGACTGAAAGGTCCAGAAGGCTAAGGCGATAGCCACGCAGGGGTCATTCAGTCCAGGCAGGGTCACACGCTGTTGATTCAAAAGAAGGGTGTTACATACCAAGACTACTCATGTCATTTTGTCCAAGCACTGTCAGCAGGCAGCAGTGAAGACTGCGAAACTCTGAAAGACAGGATGCTGGTCGGCAGATGCTAGACATGAAAGTGAGCCACAGCTTGGGATGAGGCAGCATATTCCTGAAACCATCACTGCTCAGGATCTGACAGCGTTACAAAGGAAACCATTTGCCCAGTTCTGAAATATGCATTCGAACGTCTGTTCCATTAAACACACATCAGTATGTTGCCACCTGTTCTAGTCATGCTTGATGATGAATGGTATGCAGAGATAATACACCTGCCTGGCCTTGTAAATGTTCTGCAGGGAGAAATCAGAATTAGGTAATGGAAGTCAAATTTGGATGGATAGTCCTGTTACAGTCAATGTGGAATCCACTGCCCTTAATTACTTTGTTGCCTGAATTGGAAACCCTTCAAATAATGAGGGGGGGAATAAAGCTTCTTGACAGCTAAGAGCCAAAGAATATAATTTGGTTGCAAGGTCCATCAGCTACCCACAGATGACAGCAAATCCCTATGTAGATCAATCAGAGAGGTAGTAGAAAATGAAAGTAATGGTTGGCACACGCTATTTAGAGATGTTAAAGCTAATGTTGCCATGACTGAAGAGAAAGCAAGCGAGGCTGCCATCGAGATCTCATTGAAATTAGTTGGAGTCTTACACTTCCCTTGCAGGACTGTGGAGCAGACCTTGATGTGGCCATTAAAAAAGAAACAAAATGAGGAAAAGACACCAATCAAGGCCAGGAAAGCGGTTAACTTTAAGCATGCACTAATGCCTTTGCCATATGTGCTTAAGTACTTTGGACACCGGCTTATTTTCTGGCTAAAAGCTGCGATTCTGTTAATAGCTTCCAAAAAGCTTTGTCTGAGGGAATCGCACTCTTGCACCCATGTGAAGCAGATGCGGGCTTATGATGTGCTTTAAACCCTGGGGGGGGGGGTGGTGGTGTATGGAATTCCTGCCTAATACGTAAGAAATTGAAGCTGTGGGTGTCTCTGCTAGAACGACTGCGAAGTGCTGTAAATCAGCAAGAGATGAGAGGATAATATGCACATCTCACGCGCTGATTTCTGCCTGTTGGGCTCTTACACAGCGTTGACTCTGTGAAGAATCACTGCCAAATGAGTTTGCTCCAAACAGGCTCTTGGGCTGCTGTCCCACCATGGCGTTTCATTACCCATCACGTTAAAAGAGAGATGAATCATTGCAAGGGCTCACTGTGCTTCCGGATTTCCTAGTTTATCAAGCTTGCATACGGCTTTCTGAGGTAGGAGCGGTGTGAAACTCGGAAACACCTCCTCCTTCTTTCTTTTGAGAAACTGGCATTTACAGCCATGCAGCCTGCACATCAGTTGGCCATTTGCTGGTCCCTAATCAACTTACAGTTACAAAGAGCACCTGTTTGACACAAACCAAGTGCATGCTATTATAGCAGAGAGCTCAAATGCTTTGTATTCTGTATTTATCGTATCTACGTAACATATAACCCCCACGAGAAATAGCAAATGCAAGTGAATCAAGGCTGGGAAGAAAGAGTCAGGTTTTATAACTAGTTAATATTCCTTTTGCAAGCTTCTCCCATGAACAAGCTCTCACTGGGCTGCAAAATACTACGATCATGACTATAGGTATTTCATCAAGGAGCCGTACTGATGTGACCAGAATCTGGTTGTGAACCTTGTCACTGAAATCCAAACACTGATGCAACCTCCTCTGAAGTTCAAGGATCATCAGTTCTGGATTCAGTAAACTATTGCTCATCAGTTGGGATGTTGAACATAGCACTGCAGACAAATACCGGGATAATGACACAGGGTGGTTCTCATACCATATAACTTAGGAGCTAATTTAGGTACCCAAGTCACTTAAAGAGTCTGCAAAGAAACACCGATTCCCTCGAGGGAGAATTCAAAATTAAGTATCTAGGAGAGCTTAAAACAGCTGATGTGAACACACCAAATGCCCTACGTGGTTTGCAATCCCCCTTGTACTTTAACTGCTCATGGCATTTCTCACAACCCCCTTGTTGAAAGCTGTTGAGTGACCTTGCAGAAGTCTGCCAGAGTTCTGGTCCATGCCACACTGCAGGAGGCTGCTTTTGCCTGGTCCCCCTGTGTCATACTTTGGTAGCAGGGGAACTCTACTAATGCATACCCTAAACCAGGGTATTTATAAAATAGGATTGCACGTTTGATCCCTGATGTTCCCAACTGAAGATACGGTACTGGGTTCATATAAAATGTCCCTGTCAGCAGGTGCTTGAATTGTTGCATACTCCTGAGGTGCCTGACATGTTATTAATACCCTTTCTTATTCCAGGCTCTGGTTTGTGAGGCTGCTAAACACAATGTGTGCGCTGCATGTCAGTCACCTGCAGTATTATCCCAGGAGTTTAAGCTGAAGCAAGGCCTGACACATATAAGGAAATAAAAATCACTCAGCAATGTACATCCCTGCATTGTACTCAGTTCTTCAAAGGCCTGATTGGCCCAATCCTTTCCTGACAGATGCCAATGACCGCATTAAGTGCAGTGTTGTGAGACAGAAGGCTTTCTACCACATAAACAGTCTTAATAAATAGATGTAAAATGTAGAACCGTAGAGAGGACAGCTGGAAAGAACCTTAAGATGTCACCTACAGCAGGCCAGACAGCCCAAAGGACATTTCTCTAACCTCTTCCTTAAGAACCCTACACATGGACCTTCCCCAAGTGGGCTATTCCCTGATTTTACTGCCCTTAACCGAGCCAATGTGCTTCCTGATGTCTTGCCAGAGTATTTTTTTGCCCAGTTTTTTTTGTCTTATCCATTATGGATGCAGAAATTGGAAGGCGCCCTTCCTTGCAGAAGCTTTTTATGTATTTAAAAACTATTACCAGGTCTCTGCTTCATTTTCTCTTCACTAGACTGCACAGAACCAATTAGTTCAATTTTTCGTTGCAGGTCATGTTTTCTAGTTCTCTGATCATTCTCACACTGAATAATAAGAGCTTTGTAAAAGGAAGAAGGGAGGAAAATTATTGTGCTGGTTATTATTAAAATTAATGATTCAATCACAATCCATTTTATTGGGGTTATTGCTAATCTAACTTTACCTTTAATGCTTAATAATGTGTACACAGATATATCCCTATGTATTGTATTTCTGGGTTATGTTGGCTCACGGTCTTTGTAAGTTGTATTTCAGGAAATAGAAGAAGCCTACAAGCCAAACAGGGATGCTCTCAGGGCTAAGAAATACAGATATCCTCTTTTTCTCACGATATGGTAGCTAATGCTTCACAGAGAAGACAGCCGCTTGTCTGAAACTGTGTATGTGCTACCAATGCACAAGTCCATGGCAGTAGTGTAAACAGCTTCAGGTAGACTATCCTACCTTGCCCTGCTGGATGCAGTCCCAGGTTCTGGGGCTTCTGCAGCATCAGCTGCAAATCCCATATTACCCAGTTACCCCTCCAGTTCTTGCTTATTCCCTCAGCCCCGTGGTTGACCATGGACTCAGTGACTGCAGCATAACAGATGGGAGAGTTGAATTTAGATTGCACCACAGTGCCAGGCTTCCCTAACTGATGAAGCTGCCATCTGAACAGCCTTCCTTCGGGCAGAGGCTGGATGATGGAGTTTTCATGTACTGTATATGATACACAAGTAAGTCCATGTTGAACAATACTGAAGTGTTTCTGTATGTAGTGTTTCTGATTTGGCAGAAGTTTGCTTTGAATGGAGGCTTAAGTGATAGTCTTACACAGCTTACCAAACCTAAACACCAGGGCAGTCCCAATGGGCTGTTATCAGAGAGAAACTTCAGTTATTGACTCTTCTAGTTGAGTAGCATCTAAAACCTGAGCTATTGAGGTACTGTATAATACCAAAAGAACCTTATTATATATGATCCATATGTAAAGACTTAACGCAATACTCACATATATGTGTTGTTGGGAAAATACTCTGTTTTCAATGAATGCAAGATGAAACTTTTAAATATGTCTACCAAAACAGATGGTCCTAAGTAAAGGTGAACAGAATTTGTCATTCCTATTACCCCAAGTGCTATCCAGAGGGATACGTGACAATCAAGGAGTTAATCCAACTGCAAAATGAAGGCTTTTCATACATCTGCTCCCTTAAGAGGTGCATTCTTCATTTACACTCAAAATCTGTAAGAAAAAAAGAAAGGGAGGATAAAAGCTGGTAGAAAGCTGTGCAATTTAGGAGAGAAAGGAGAGGAACAAAACCAGAGGGGGGGAAAAGGAGGAACAAAAGAAACTCATTCAAAAAAACGAGAGCAAAGAACATCCACTAAAGACGAGAGAAAGGCTGGCATCAAAAGAGGTTTTCAGCCTCTGAAATCACGCAGCAGCCAGGCACTGCAGGTGATACCACCACCAAATTGCCTCTGTGGAGAGAGATACCCTTGCAGGACATGCTACTGGTGTAGGGGTTAAGAGAGAAAGTGTGATTTTACAAGACTGAACTTCAGAGGGATTCTTTGAGCACCAGGATTCAAGCTGTTACCCACTTACCAGATGAAGCTCAGTGGCCTGTTTTGCCTTTTGGGTTTCTCCCTTTTGATTTACCTATTATTTTTGCACTCCTGCTTCAGTGAGCTACAATAATTAAAAAAGACTTAGCTTTTAAATTAAGGTACAATGACTTGGGATTTTGCTCACGGAGAAAAATGTTCCCTATGGAAAGCTGGTATTTTCATGTACGGATATAATGTCCCCCCTAGAACACCCTTTTGAGGGAGACACAACCAAAGAAATGGGATGCGATCAGAATTTTATGGGCTGCTCCGGTTTCCTATTTCCCCTGTAAAATAAATTATGCATGAATATCTTTGAGTTCCCTGGGTCATCGAACTCCTCATATCCCCCCAGGGGTGCTCAGCATCCTAATGCACCCAACGATGATGTCACATCTGTGAATCCCTGTCACCCGAATCAATTATTCATTCTCTGCCACGCACGGTGCTTTCTCTTGCTAAGCAGGGGCCTCCTCCCTGCAAAGCCACTGTTTGGAGGACGGATGGATTTCCTCTGGGGAAGCGAGTGCCTTCCCCTTCGCACTTGCAGCGGTCTGGGGACCCAGAAGCAGCCCCCACAGCTCCCAGTGTCCCCAGGAGCAGAGCAGGGCAGCATGCCCTGCATGTCTCTTCAATGCCCACCCCAGCACATCTCCCCTCCTGTGCCGACCTGTCTGCGAGGAAAAACATGGAGCAAGGATGGGGATGAGGCGATTTCATCTTCCTGGAGCCATTCGGAGCCATCCCTTGTTCCCAAGCTCAATCCTTCAGGCTGTTTACGAGGCTGTGGTTAGCTTGGTGTGTGATGATGTTAAAAAAGCTGAGGAGCTCTATGAGCCGCAGAGGTAATGAAACTGACTTCCCAGGGGGTTTCTTTCTGTTCCTTTTTTAACTGAACCGGAGGATGTAGTTCCCCTTCAGCTGTTAGCATCTCCTTTAGTTACAACTAACTCCATTAGTCATAGAATGAGCCCCCTTCCTCCCTTGCAGCCCTCCTCCTGCAGAGGGTTTGGTGGGGTGCTGTGCATCATTCAAAAGTTAGAGCTAAGAGCATCGAAAGTGGGTTGGGAAACAACTGATTGCTTGAGCCTGGTCCCACATCTCTGCCAGCGGCTATTTAATGAAAAGCAGAGAAATGAATTTATTTAGGAGGTCTCCATTCCTCTCTCATTTTTGGCTGTTTTAGAGTCATGGAGAGGGAAGGCAAAGCAAACAGACATGCACAGACTGGCTTGTTTTCGTAGAGACCAAGCTAGAAAATGTGCTTAAAGCATCTTCAGGTACTGCACTGACCTTGAGCTCTTGCACTTCATTAATTATGTGATTTTATCACCGCGTTTTCCAATTAAAAGCAATTCTCTTCCCCCTTCCTGTGTAAAAATTCACGTCCTTCCCTCTCCCACCCCTCACCAATCTCCCCCTTTCTTTCAACCCTCACAAGCCTTGGTGTGATAATGGGTAAGGAAATGCTTTCAGACAAAGGTCTGGCATTTTAATTTTGATAACCTCCCCGAGCAGCGAGGCTTGTGTGGGATGGAGATTAATGAAAGCAATGCGCAATGTGCCCCTGTCACCAGGTAGAGTTAAGAAGCAGATAACCCTCGGGGAAGGAAATAGTTCAAAAGGGGAGTAAGTAATAACACATTTTAATTTTTCATGCATCCCTACCCACTATTTAATGGAAGGAGAGCCCAAACTGCAAGGGAAGAGGAGATGAAAAAGGAGCAGCAGCCTTACTCTTTGGATGGGCACACACAGGAGAGGGAGCCTGGGGGGCCCCTGCCAGCAGCGATAACTGGGAATGAACCAGGGCGTGCTGTAGCAAGGGGATGCTTTTCTGCACATTTTTCTCACCTATCCTAAGGAGCCCAGTGCACTTCACAGCCCCATAATCCCCAAATCACGCAGTGCCCACTGTCATGGGTAGCTGAGGCAGACGGGGAAGGAGAGATGAAGGTGGGGCAGAGCCCTGAGCATCCCTTGCATGGCTGGCAGGGCACCGTGGGGCACCAGGGGTTATTAATCAGGGCCCAGAAACTGCCCAGGGCAGGGCTGGAGAGGCACGGGAAGGACTGCTCCTGCTTGTTGAGGACGGAGGATGAGATGTGTCTCGGCTGTAAACACAGCTACCCCAGCCCCCCATGCCTTCCTGCATCTTGCAGGTGGCCACCACCAAGCGATGGTGTAGACATAGACAGGGAGATAAAGATTTAGCTCCTTCCTAGTGTTTTAACCACCAAGCCTGATCTCTCTCTTAATTTAGCTGCCCTTGCCCCTATATTGTGATCACGCTTGGATATACCTATAATATGGTTTATTACTTGGGTTATTGTTTAACTCTTTGAGTACAGCTGTCAGCCTTCACTGATCTCCAGTATCTCACCCACATTTTATTACAATGAGAAATTACTACAATGACCCAAGGAGTCACGGATAAGTAGCTCACTCCTTGTGAAATAAGATTCTAAAAGCTGTTTCTGAAGCGTTTCCTGAGTGATAACAATGCTCTGCCAAACGGCTTGAGAACCTATTCCCAGTGCTTTCTGAATGAGTATATAGCCCAAGAAAGCTGCTAGAATGAGGCAGGGGGAAAAGGCTGCCTGGAAGCATGGAGGAGGCAGGGTCCATGATTAAAAATATGCAATACATTACATATCCTACATAACACAAAAGCAAAACTACAATAAAAAGGGATGGCTTGAAGCCGTTAGCCATCATGATGCCTTCCTGTCGAGCTTTGCATGGGGAAGCTCCAAGAATATACTTGCAGAAGTGAAAGCAGCGTGGCTAAACTGCAGTCCCCTCTTCACTGCGCTGCAGATCTGGGCTCCTGAGAAGAGACAGCACTTAGTGTTGGAGACCACCCCTAAGTACAGCACTGGAGATGAATAAGAACTATGGAGCAGGTCAGGAAATCTGGGGATGAGTCCCTGTCACACTTGATTACGACCTCCAGAAAGCCTGCACAGCATCCCACTTGTCAGCACTGTCAGCTTCTAAGCTTGTTGTCATCTTAACAGCCCAACCTCATATACATTTGGTGACAGTCACCCTGGCTACTGCCCACCCTCCTGGCTGGGTGACAAGTCTGCCCTTGAGTCCCCATTCCCTGTCTCCCATCTCACTCTGGCTGCAGCTTGGGCAAGTCTCAACATAGAATCATAGAATAGTTAGGGTGGGAAAGGACCTTAAGATCATCCAGTTCCAACCCCCCTGCCATGGGCAGGGACATCTCACACTAAAACATCTCACATTGTGCTTTCTTACTTGTAACTGTAGGCACGCACTGACACCCTCCTTACCTGTCTACTTGCTGCTCTGTTGACCTGGTGGGCTTGGTTTGCTAAAGCTGCAGCTGGGGTTGAGCAGTAACCACCTAACCGGAAAGCTCAAACCGCTTGTTTATACCCAGGAACTTAAATAATCAAACCAGACAAAAATGATTCCATTCTTGTCACGTTCTAATAAACAAAAAGCAACACCTATGCCACTGACCTGTATTACATTTATGCTGGTTTGCTACAAGCTCTTTTCAGCATCAGAGATTCAGTGGCAGCACAAACACGCTGGTAAGGCTGCATCTTGTTTTGGCGATGCTGCCAGGCTCTGGGCTCCCCTCAGACATCTTGAAACTTCCCCTTGTATCTCCAATATGATGTGCCATTAAAGGACTTGTCTCACAGCAGCATATGCTTTCCTGACTACAGGCTTTTAATGGAAGCCCTTTGGTTGTAGCCAGGTTTGGGGATTCACCTGCTCCATAGCAACACAGGAATTTGTAAAAGGTCTCGTGCCTAAGTACCCAAAAAGTGTCTGCTGTGACTACTGGCTACCATGACATGAACTGCATAAACCAATCAACCTCCACCTTAGCTGCAGTAAATGCTGTCCCTGCTCTTCCTTCCAATGGCTGGCTTCACTCTTCTCATGAGTGGAAGTCTGATTTGCAGCCTGAGTTTACTCATAGGCAGGGTGTTCCTCTTGGTTTCTACTAGCTTTGTCCATTGCCTTTTCACAGTTCTTCTGCCTCCCTGGTGCTTAACTACTGGATGTATTGACAGAAGGCAATGGATATTGATCCGGCTTTGTTTTGAACCCCTTTGCTGCTCCTCTTTTCCTTCTCCTTTGAGCGTCTGCATGCAACATCTGCAGTGTCTGCATCCAACACCTGCTTCTGCCACTTCCCAGCTTTCACCTTTGATCAGTGGAGAAGGGTGCCTGCAGCAGTCACCTGAGGGCACAAGAAGCCCTGTCTCTCTCCAAACCCTTGCCTGAAGGCAAAATAACAGCACAAAACAGTTGAGGAAAGCCTGTCACCCAAGCCCTGCAGGTAACGGGATCATCAGGTGCTACTGGTTGGTGGCAGGTCCAGAACAGACCTTTCCTGCTTTAAACAGACCAGTGCTGTTTTACTCACTGCCTGGCAATCTGCTCAGTCAAAGCCCTTCTCTGCACTGCAGCACAGCGATGGTGCTCAGTGTTGACACGGACACCGAAAGCGGTTCCGCGGACTGCGACCGAGGGCTGTTAAAAACAAACCACCCATTTTCCCCTACCGAAGTCCTCAGGCTCAAAACTTGCTGGAGGCAGAGTCAAACCTCACGGGGCAGGAAGCACCACCGTAGGCTGGCCCCGGTACCCAGTGCTCCCAGCCTGTGCGTCCGGGCTGCGCAGCCCCGCTGAGGCTCGGAGAGCGGGGAGGAAGAACCGAGCACAGAAGGAATGAAGGGAGCAACAGCCCTGCACATCCTTGCTGCCGAGCCTCCTGCGCGGAGTCGCTCAGAGGCAGCGGCAGGCGCTGACGGCCGTTCCCATCGCCGGGGTCGGTAGGTGTCAGTGTTGGACCCCGCAACAAAAGCGCTGTCATTTCCCCCCCAACACCCCCTCCTTCGCACACCCACCGGGAGCGATAGCCCGGGGGGAACGGAGCGCTCTGTGTGAGCCGAGGCCAACCGGGGCCGTTTGCCTCACCGCGGGGAGAGACCCGGCTCGGCGGCGGCATCTCCTCGTGCGGGGGATGCGGGGTTGGGTACCGTGCCCTGCGTTCCCAGTCTCGTTAGCAAATGTGTAGGTTTCAAACTCGGGACGTTTGCTCCATTTCGTATCTCCTCCTCAGGGAGAAAGGTGACGATCTGGTCCGGATCTGGACATTGTCCCTGGACGGTCCACTCTGCTGCTCTATGCACCTTCCACCTTCATCTGGCAAAGGAGGACTTCATCGGCTCCTACCTGCGTGATGGCAAAGGGAAGGCTTGCACATGGTACCAGATCTGAGGCGTGAATTTATGAGGAGATTATACCCCCACCCTCTCTGTACATCAAGGTGCCCCCAAACCTTGGAGAATTACAATCACTGATTTCAAAACCCGTGCTCACAGATCAGTGGTCCAAGGACTACACCTGGGGGCTGGTGGAAGGTAACTAAACCCAGCCAGCTGGTTGCCAGTGGCTTAATTGAATCCATCCATGCAGGTATCCACTGGAGAATATATAGGGCTCCCCAAACCAGGAAGAGATTGAAAGGAGCTATCTCTGAGGTTTAACCCATACTGAAGATTGTGGCTTCTATTTAATTTTCTGTCAACTCCCTACATTTGTCTAG